CGTCAGGATGCCCGTCAAGTTCTGAATACTGTCGGGTTGGATGTCCGAATCCACCATATATCTTCTTTTTTTAATCTTCCGACTACAATACTAAACTCCCATTCTATACCAGTACTAGTTGCCAGAATTGAATGTATTTGTCTTGATAAAATTGACAAGAAAAAATAATACAAATAAAATGACCCAGGTCACCAAGTTTAGCCTGGCCTGCCTGCAGGCCAGGCCAAAAATTGTTCGGCCTGATCAGGCCAGGCTATAATTTCAAAATCCGGCCTGGCCTGATGCCTGCCAGGCCGCAGGGCAGGCCGGCAGCTCTGTACGAAACAAGTACTAATATCTTTTTGTTTTTTTACTAATTATTTTCAATACTATGTTCAGACAAAAAAAAATGGTTTTTATTACATATCAATCACAATATTAAAAGAATTCTTTTTTTGATGTTTAAAAAACAATGATTATATAATTTGATAGCACAAATTTTTTTTGAAGGGAGACCAATCATCACAATCCTCCTCTCTAACGATGTTGTTGGTATCTATAAACAACAGATTGTCAAAAATAATACTTCTCTGAAATTTCGTATGCATAGGGAAACGTGCGACATCTTTTTTTTTCTTTTTTTTTAATTATGAGTTAATATTCAAATATACATTACATAAAGAAATAATTGCAAAAAAAAAAATTTAAATTGATAATAAATAGTTACGAAAAACAAAGAATTTAAAATTTAATTCGCGGTTCTTTATTCATGGTCTTATTTAATATATAGACGGCTATCATCGCAATTTTTGTTATTGTGCAATTGATCAATAAAACCATGTCAATTCTTTTTCACGTATGTTTATTTCATTAATTTTCTTCTAGATGACAACTCCATCAAAATCTAATGATAGTCCATCAAAACAAGATCGTACACCGGGTAAACAGACATCTGGTTCGACGCAACGAACACGGACGAAACCTTTTTTTTTTTATTATTATTATTTAATTTTATCTATTAAATATTTTATTTAGTTGCTAAACATCCTAATCCATTAACAACATTACGAGAAGATGAACCAGTTGCTAGTGCAGCACCAAGTTCTGTTCTTCCAATGCCTTTTACACCAGGTCAAACACCAAACAAAAATCGAGATTTATTTTAATATAAACAAAAAATCTCTTTTTAGGCATGGCATTTACATCCTCACCTGTACGAAGTAATATGGGTGGTAGCGATTGTACATTAATGTCAACACCATTTCGAGCTCGATCTGATCCTACTAGTGTAGGAAAATTGCGTTTAGTTAATGAACAAGAGGAATTAGTAAATTCATTCATTGAAATAATTGACAAAGAAAAGAAGAAAAAAATTTAATTTTAGGAAGGTGATATTAATGTAAATACAGCTGATAATCAAGTTCTTATTTACGGTACAGATGTAAATGTCAACGAATGTAAACGTCAATTTATATCATTTTTGGAAAAATTTCATTTAAATATTGAAGAAACAAATCTTGAAGGTGTTGATCCACCTAAACCATTTTATATACAAAAATTAGATGAAATTCATTTACTTAAAGGTACATTTCTTAATGTTGATTGTACACATATAAAACAAATTGATAAAACAATGTATAATCAATTACTTTCATATCCACAAGAAGTTATATATATATTTAATATAGCTGTTAATGAATTACTTTTTACTATTTATGAAGATAATACACTTCCACATCAAATTCAAGTGCGACCATATAATGTTGATATGGTTAAAAATATGCGTTGTCTTGATCCAGAAGGTTTTATTCTTAAATCAAATTTATGCTTTTTTTTTGTTATGAAGAAATTTATTTAGATGTTGATAAATTAGTTACACTTACTGGCATGGTTATTGGATCATCATCAATAATGCCTGAAATGCGCTCAGCATATTTTTCATGTAATACATGTGGTTTTCATGTTCAAGTTGAAATTAATCGTGATCAAATTACTGAACCAACTGTATGTACATCATGTAAACAAACACACTCATTTGAACTTATTCATAATCGTTCATTATTTGCTGATAAACAATTTATTAAATTACAAGAAACATCAGGTTTATTTCTTCTTTTGAAAATGAATTAATCATATTCAATTTTTTTTCTTTAGAGAAAATGCCTGCTGAACAAACACTAGTTACTGTAACTGTTGTAGCATATAATGATTTAGTTGACGCAGTGCAACTTGGTGATCGGTATAGAATTTATTTATTAATGACAGTGTTTTATCTAGTGAGAGGATACAACCCTCCCGGAGATGGAGCTCACTTTTATCGAAAAGAATCGGATTATAATAGTACGATTCGCTCGTAATTATAACCTCATTTCCTATTTTTTTTCCAAAACTCTATGGACATTACTACTAAGTTCCAGCACCAACGGATGCTGAAAAGATGCTGAGATGTTAGAGGTTCCAAACCTGCACTTTTCCCCTTGTTCTCATGACTTCCGAAGAAAAAACTTGAATAAAACTTTATTTTATTGCTTGATATTTTAGTGTCCAAGTAACTGGTATATTTCGTGCAGTACCAGTTCATATAAATCCTAAAACACGATATGTTCGATCTGTTTGTCGTACATTTATTGATGTTATTCATTTTCGTCATGAAAAAACGTTTACAGCTGAAGGTAGAATTGAAGATCAAACAACAAATGATTATGAAGAATCAAGGTAAAATGAATTTTTTATTGAATTTTTTATTGAAAATTTTTTTTTTTATCGACTGAAGTTCATTAAAATTTTCTAAAGAACGCTTAGCACAATTTCGAAATTTATCGAAACGTCGAGATATATATGAATTATTATCAAATGCTATTGGTACGATAATGTTTAATTTTTCTCGAATTTTTTGACAGAATCTATTGTTTTTTTAAGCTCCAAGTATTTTTGGACATGAAGATATTAAACAAGGTATTTTATTGCAATTATTTGGTGGAACAAATAAGAATTTTATTGATACTGGACGAAAAACTTTTCGATCTCAAATAAATATATTACTTTGTGGTGATCCTGGTACAGCTAAATCACAATTACAACAACACATATTTCGATTAGTACCTCGTGCACAATATACTAATGGAAATGGTACAAGTGCTGGTGGTCTTACTCCATATGTAACAAAAGATCCTGAAACTGGTCAACTTATTCTTCAAACGTAAGGCTAAATAAATTCTTTTTTCTTTACTTGAAAATTTCTATTTATTTTAGAGGTGTATTAGTTCTTGCTGATAATAGTATTTGTTGTATTGATCAATTTGATAAAATGAATGAAAGTGTTCGATCAATTCTTTACGAAGTCATGGTATATTAAATATATTTATTTAAATAAATCAAAAAAAAAATATGAAATTTATTTAGGACCAGCAAACATTATCAATATCTAAAGCTGGTATTATATGTAAATTAAATGCTCGTACATCAATATTAGCTGCAGCTAATTCAATTGAATCACAATGGAATAAATTTAAAACAGTTATTGAAAATATTCAATTACCACCAACATTATTATCACATTTTGATTTAATTTTTCTTTTACTTGATCCACAAAATGAAGCATATGATAGACGATTAGGCCAACATTTAGCTTCATGGTATCAATATGAAAATGCTCATGAAGCTATGGTAAAATTTACTCTTTCTCAAAAAAAGAATATCATTTATTTTCTTTATAGGATACTGATTTACTTCGAGATTATATATCTTATGCACGTACATTTGTTAGTCCACAATTAACTGAATTAGCAAGCAAACTTCTTGTTAGGACGTAAGTAATCAAAACAAAAAACAAATCGATTAATATAAATTGAATTATTTGTATTTAGATATGTTGAAATGCGAAAAGTTCGTAATAGTAAAAAACAAATATTAGTATATCCAAGACAACTTGAATCATTAATTCGTTTGGCTGAAGCACATGCAAAAGTTCGTCTTTCAGATAAAGTTGAAGAATTTGATGTTAAAGAAGCTAAACGGTAAAAAATTAGATAAAGAATATTTTCTCATCAAAGCCTATTTATATTTCAGACTTTATCGTAAAGCATTAATTGGTCCTGGTGAATGTCGTCTTGCTGATCTTGCACAAACATTTAAACATTATCTTGAAAAACGTAAACCAACAGAGAGTAAAGGACCAATTAAAACAGATACATTATTTAATGAAATTCGTGAACGAATTGATCAATGTATAACACGTGATATTGAACGAGCACAAACACGCGTAAGATAAATATCTATAAATTGATTTATTTAAGTATAATTATTTAGGAAGAAATACGTTCATTAATAAAGCAGGTCTATTTATTGATTGATCTAGTCGAAAACGAAATTGGCATCACGAGACATAAGGAAGACGAAGATGAAGATATTAAAGCTTTACGAGATACGTTAAAGCAATTTAAATCTGGTTTGGAAAATGTCCTGACTCGTTATGAAACAATTGCGAATGAAAACTTATCATATTCAAATAATGGTAATGATGATGGACAGAATGAAGAAGAATATTATGAAGAAGATGATGAAGTAAGTATTAATGCGGTAAATAATAAATACCAAAAGAAAAACATAACTAATTTTTCTTTTATATTTATTAGATAATGAATGATCTACCAGGTCAAGTTTATCAAATAATTAATAATCTTATTGTACAAGGTATAATAAGTGATCCAGGTCAAGTTCATACAATATTCAATAGTCTTATTGTACAAGGTATAATAAATAATCCTTATTTATTCTGTTCATTATTATTTCGTAATCCTGGTTTATTACGTTCATTATTACTTAATAATCCAGCAACATTACTTGAACTTATGTGTAATCATGATTGTGGTTTAAATAATCTTATAGTAAGTTTTAAGAATTTATTATTATTAACTTGTTATTTTTTCAATAGAGTATGTCATCATGTGGTTTAAATGATTTACAAAGTATTTATCATTATGTACAAAAACCAATATATCCAGGAGCCGAAGGACAGTTTGATAATAATTCATTTGCACAATTATTCACTGGCAATGAAGGTATTGAAAAAACTTCTTTTTATTCTCTATTTTTTTCTTTTACATTAAAAATACAATAATATCACGTACTGAAAATATAGATCTAATACCAAATCCTTGGGCACGTCGTGGTGCTGATGCAGTAGCTGCATCTCCTCTTCAAACACAACAACCTACTAGTTCAGCAAATACTGAACCACAACAAGCAGCTCCAACAATTTCGATTAATACCAGTAGTAGTTCACCTGGTTTAATATCTTCAATGATGCAAAACTATAGGTTACAATTAGTTCGGATTTCTTGTTTACTTGAATGTGTTTTTAATGCATTATATATACAACCATTAATGGATTCACGTGCAACTTATTCTGATATATCAAGACAAATGGTTGCTAATAATCCAATGTTTGCTGATAATCCTAAATTACATGAACAAATGATTAATGCTTTACCAGCTATGATGGAACAAATGAGAATTCCTGAAATACAAGCATTAATACAAAATCAACAAGTACTTGAAGCTATTACACAAGTTCAACAAGGTTAGAAAATTAGATTTATTTAAAAATAATTTATAATCTTATGTATAGGACTTCGACAATTACATGCAGCAGCACCGAATCTATTTCAAATGTTAGTTTATGAATAAAAAAAACAATAATAATTTTTTTACTTATTTTAGCGATGATTTATTATCTAATCTTCGTTTTGGTCCAACTGGTTTATCTTTACCAGCTAATAATGAACCTTCTTCATCATCAACTACTCAACCTACACCATTTGATTCAATAGCTATTGGTAATACATCATTATTACATGATCCAAATAATCATGCAGGTGTATTTGGTCAAATGTCGAATATGATATCAAATCAAAATATGGTATATTTATTTAGATTTGTTTTTTTTTGTTTTTTTTCTGATTTTTATGGTATAGAATACACCACCAGATCAACAATATGCTGTTCAATTAGAACAACTTGTATCAATGGGTTTTACTAATCGTGAAGCAAATTTACAAGGTAATTGATTAATTTTTTTTTAAATTAATCTTTTTCTTTTCTTTTCAGCTCTTATAGCATCAGTGGGAGATATAAATCAAGCGATTAAATGGCTTCAATCTCATGAATAACTTTTCTTTTCGATATATTGATTCTTCTATTCATATTAACACAATGTTGTATTTTCGATATATTGATTCGTCTGTTCATGTTTTACAATATTTTCTTTTCGATATATTGATTCCTTGTGTTCATGTTTATAAAATATTTTCTTTTCAATATATCGATTCTTATGTTCATCTTAATAAAAGTTTTTTTTTTGTTCATCTTAATCCGATTTATTGAATTTTCATCAATTGACAAGAACGTTAGTCTCATTTCTTTTTCTTCTATTCAACTATTTTGTTCTATATAAATGTGTGTTCGAGAGAAAAAAAATGACTCGCATAGAAAAGTGATGGATAAGATTCTCGTATGTATCTATGCATATTTTGCAAGAAAAAGACAAATCTTTTTGTTGTTGTCTATGTATATGTAATTATCATATTTATATAAACAAGAAGAAAGAACATTTTCAATTTGAAATTATGATTAATAATCAATGGTATCAAGCTTTTGTTTTTTATAAAAGAAAATTCTTTTAACATGTCAATTGTACTGAGAGATTTGGTCAGTTCTTAAAATAATTTTCAACGATTGAAACTTCAGATATACTTGAGTACTAAAGAAAACGTTATTGTCACGTTCATGTATATTTTCAATATAATACGTCATTTACGCACAGATGATTAAGCATTTTATGTCATGTATCTTTGCAAAACACGATCTAAAAGGAGTGTTGAAGTATATAAGGATAGAAATTTGGACTTACCCCCAGACCGTGACAGATACCATTAGTAACGTCCGTCCCGATCTTCGACCAGAGATCGTGACAGTCATCTTAGCAAAGTCTTCCCTCCGTCACAGACCTTAGCAACACCCCCTCCTTCTATCACAGACCATGATATACACTTATCAACGACTCCTTGCCATCACAGGCTGTGATAAATATCTTAACAATGCCTCTCTTCCGTTACGTAGCAGATGCCTTAGTATTGTCACACCTTCTTCATGAACTATGACACACATACAACAAAAGCACATAATACAACAACTGATGATAATAATGAAGACAAAGATTATGCTTTTTTTGCGATTTCCTATGTTATAAACCCTTTCTTTTTTTTGTATCTTTTTGTGTGTAAATGAAGTTATGTATTTGTTTAATTTAATGAAAAAAAATCAAATAAAAATATTTGGTCTATAAAGGTTTAATAAATTGTTTTAATTTTTGATAATCAAGATATTTACGTGAAATTCTAATTATATAAATAAAGATTAATAATTCTATTTTTTGTCTAATAATGATTTAACTTACTTGAAACGATTTTCATCAATGCGTACTTTATCAAATGTTGTTTTTCCATTAGTACCATTACTTTCGTCATTCGTTAAAAAAGTATTTAAATCTTGTGTTGTACCCAGTTATCTTATCTACGACCATTAACAATCTAAATATAAAACTATAAATATTGATTGATGAATAATAAAAAAGAAATCACATTCATAAATATCATACTTGACGTAACAACACTAATTTGCGGATATTGATTTTTAGCTGGAAATGTTGTAATTCAAACAATCTAAAAGAAAAAAATATTTCTAAAATAAAAATTGATTTTTAAAAAGCTAAATATACACTTAATGAACATTAGTACATCTTAAACGATTAGCAAGTGAAAGAGAAAATGTATCAGTAAATTGATTATCTTCTAAATAATATTTTATGCCAAATGTAACAGCTGTCAATACTTTATTATCATCAAATTTGCCTAACTATAAATAAGAAAAACAAAAACTTATTTTTTTCAAAAAGATTTTCTTCTAATAACTTACAAAACTAATTTAAAGTCATTCTATACGATTGCAAGCAGCATCTGATTGTGCATAAACGTTGAATAGTATCACTATTATCCATTGATGATAAATGGCATATTTTTTTGTAAAATTAATGCAAATTTTGTTGATACAACATATCTGTCAAGAAATTTTTAATAAATCTTCGATAGTATTTGCTTCTTTGATATTTGATAAAACATTGAAGCAGATATATCACGACTAGATTCATCCGAATGAGAAAATTAAAAGTTAAATAAAAGAAAAGAAAATTTATTCTTTAGGAAATTTTATTTTATCTAATTTAATGAGTTTCCTTTGTTTTGATGCTTCTGATTGTTATAAATTAGATTTTTCAGGATTAATTGTTTTCATTCTTTTTTCAATTATTGTTTCAACGAAAATGTATTCAGAACTATCAAATTCTGGTTTAACATACATTGTATTCGTTGATTTTTTCTAGATGTTGTTCATTTTGATTGCACTGCGATATGAGATATTTTTACTCAGGAACGGCGCGAAGAGGTCAGAGCAGGAGGGGGTATCTCGAAAATCGAAGCCTTCAATCCCAAAAAGTCAAAATTGAAGAGCAAAAAAAGAACGTTCTCACTCTGCTTAAATTCGGAGAAAGACTCTAAACTTTTTTGGTTGTCATCGCTTTCTTTTCGAAGCAGACTTTCCAGCATTCCTTGGACTACTCTGACCGCACTTCACGCAATATTATACCGAGGATTCCAACAAAAAATCTGATGTTTTCTTTTTTTTCAAAATTTTATTCTTCGTTCAGTTATCGTTAACATCCACGTATCACATATTGCTATTGATGACAGATGCATCTAGTTATAATACTAATTTCTCGCTTAAACACGAACTTAGATTATTGATGTAGTTCAAAACATCTCAAGAATCGAAAAAAATAGTAGAATAAATTTCTTCAAACTTAGATTTTTGCCAAATATAGGATAAATTGTCTACTTTATTCCTCCAAAATCGGATAAATCATCTAATGATTCCGCACATTTAGAGAAAATTGGCGCTACCAAAATTTTCAAATTCGGAGAAAGCTCCAATCAAAATTTTCCGAAGCAGGAGGGGGTAACCCCGCTATTCCCCCCTCGGTCGCGTCGTCCCTGCCTACATAGAATTTTATTACTCTGCCATTAGACGATTGAATCTGAACCTTTTTTTACCATGGCCAGAGATTAGACGAATTAATATTAAAAAGACTTTGTTACTGATAGATACGATAACAACATCATCCGACTACTTTAATCAATAAATTGAAACATTTCAAAGAGATATAAAATATAGTACGCGTTATCCGAAAAATAACTGATATGTTTAAGAAATATGTATCCTCAAAATTCCTTATTAACTAACAAATACTAACGATATTTTTATTTGAGTTATTCAAATAATCTTGCATTAAAACTATGTTTCTACCATTTTTATTTAGTTTTTGGTATTTTTTTTATTTAATTGAATTCAGTTAAATATATACCTGATTATTTTAATGGTGAAATATTATGTTGATTATATATTTAGGACAACTACATCATCAAACGATAAATGTCATTCGTTGTTGACATTTATTATTTTTTTTAATGCTAGTCAACTGATGAATAAAAAAAACTCATATGAAATAATAACATCATTTGTAGTTTTATATTCTTTTCTTTCTTGAATTATCATCAAAAGATTTTAACGAATTTTTATTACATATTGAAACATTTATTTTTACTTTCCTTTTTCTTTAATTTAAAATTTAGAAGAATTTTAAAATAAGCGTAAGCTGTAAATTATCTTCTTTTCAAAGGCCATTACATGTCGTTTTTCCCACGATCTTATCCAAAATTCTTTCTTACTAGATCTAAACTGACTCGAAAAATGAAAAAATCTTTTTCTCAGTGCTCCAAGAACAAGTTTTACATATGTAACCTAATAGAAGAAAGCTATAGATATAAAGGTAATTTATTCTCTATATTGAAAACATCGGCAAAATCGACTTTTCTTGCACAAGTTGTCTCAAGGCAATGTGATAAAATCAAGAATTGACTGAACACTATTTCCTGATCTCAGTCTATGTGGGATTCAATGATTTCTAAGTGATTTCACTCGAGATATACGAGATCACGTTTTTTTTGTCTTAGTCACAATAATTCCTTTTCTCTTAGTCACAGTTCAGTCATCATTTTCACTCAAGCGTAGACAAAATTACTTCGATATATGTGCATAAATCCTAAAAAAATTTTCAAGAATCTAATTGTTTAACTAATTGAGACAACGGATGTCGCAAAATTTGATCTTCTCTCTTGAGTTAGACTAAGATTAGCGTCATATATAAAATAATTCGTTCGGACGCAATAGAACATTTAACTTCAGTACAAATTTTCATCTTACTTTTAAAACACTTTCGATCTTGGTTTCACACATTAATAAATGCGACACAACCAGCTACGATCTCTGCTTCTTACATTTTTAGAATATTTATTTATTTTTTTGTTTTTTAATTTAACTAAATAAAATTAATAGTAGTCTTTTAGTGAATGCTAGCTTTAACTATTTCTGAATAGATTTCTAATGTCTAATTGATATACTATATCTTATACTAAACATAGTTTATGTGTTACAAAGACTACACTACATAATAAACATTGTGATGATACAAAAATGATATGACGAATAAGGATGTCATATTACACTTACTTTTTCAGTTAAGTATAATACGACACCTCTAATAACGAATGAAACAGTAATGAATAACAAAAAATCTTAGACAAAAAGAAATCTTCTATTATCCATCAGATATTCATCGTAGACGAGTATTAAGGCATCAATATCTATCTTTTATTATTCTTACAGACCGCTATCAGAAGATGAAGACATAAAGAGAGTGATGCAAATAAACAATATGTATGTTAGACATGAATACTTCAAACAACAACCATCTCAATACATTTCAATTGTTCAATGAAATTTTACTCCTTATTTTTAAAAACTGAATATGGTCAATGTTCTCTATTCACTTGTGGATATTAATGAACAATTTGATCATTTAATACTTAATCTTCTTTATATTCGTAATAATCTAGATATGACTATCAAATCATGTTTTAATCGTATTTTTTCAATAGGCGAGCAAATTCATGAGAGAATTTCAGGAGCAGCATGAGCAGGGGGATGTGGGGAGAGGATA